ATGCGTTTTCACAATATGCGTTTTTGTTGCGCAGCGCAACAAAAACGCATAAAACCGGTAAAACACTCGCAGAATAACACCAATTGTCAACGCACAACAAGCGGTTGCTCATTCCTCCGTCCCTTGGTTCCTCTTCCTACCTGTGCCCTCACCTTTAAGAGGGAACACTATTAAACATATACGTATGAGTTACTTTGATCATCTGGTTCGTTCAGGGGATCTGTAGTGTACTAATGCGTTGGCTCTGTACTAAATTTCGCAATACAACAGCGTAGGGTGGCCGGGTTGTTGGTGCAGGAATTCCGTATTAGTGATTTTACCGCGGTACTCCAGCACGATGGACCCACCAGTAGGCTGCATTCCTTATTCGCACTGCTTGTTCCATGTATGTGCTCCACCTTTTCGAGGGCTGTCGGAACTGTCGTTTACCCACTCGCCGAGTCCATGTTTGTTTTTCTTTTACACGATTTCATCCTGTAGGGAGATCGCCTCTACTACTGGGGCATAACTGCGGTGTTGCAATTCGAACATTTGATGCACTTGTAAAAAGGGCTCATGCCCAGACAGATGCTTTTCGCTTAATGGCCCGCACATGAACAGCACATATCGTTAGAAAAGTGCTGCTTCTTGCTCAGTCTGATTACCGAGTTAATTGTTTAGCAATTTTACACTTTAGTGCTACTGTTATTCTTGATCATTTCAAAAGATGTGCACTGAAAAGCAGCGAACTGATTCCAGTATTGCCAAATTCGTTCACTGAACTGATTGGGAAAAAGACTGTGAACTGTTCGAAACAGGCCACAGTTGCCTTTTCTTTTATGCTATTTTCTCAAGTAATTTAAAAGCTTAGTTTAATACATCTTTCCGGTGCACCTTGGTTGCCTGTGGATTTTGCAGAAACTTCTAGCTTACCTGGAGTCAGTTGTTTGCTGGTATAGATATAATAGAGCGTTGAGTAAAATGAATAGACCAGATGTACTAGCCATCGGACCACATCGTAAGGAGTCTAATTTCTTCCGCAATGAACTTCGAGTCAGTTTTGTGAGTATGGCGTCGTACGTCTCTATACTGTCAGGCTCTCGTCATTACTGAAGATCGACCTCTTCCGTATAATTTATAATGTAGATGATAGTAATAATTGGCCAACGCACGGGCTGCCGGTGCGAAGATACGTTTTTTGCAGAGTTCTCCGCAATTTTTGTTGTTACCGGCATCGGTTTTTTCGGCAAATGCTTCAAGCTAAATAAATTAAGACTGGCGGCCAGAACTGGCAGGAAACACCCCCATAAAATTTCAGCTTTCTAGTTTTCCTGGCTTCTGAGCTAGCAACTTATTGGAAAAAACTTTCACGGACCCGCAGGCGGGTACGACGCATTCCCGATGTCTGGGTTTGAGCTCGTTGAAATCTACTTGGACGGGGAACATCGTCTTAAAACTACAGTCTTTTAGCTTTACAGGTTCTCGAGTTATGAGCCTACCCGAGAAAAGCTTTGGTGAACCCGTGCGTAGGTACCACGCGTGACCGAGGGCTGGGTTTGGTCTCGTTGAGATTAATGTGGGCGAAAAACATCCTCTTAATGTTACAGTCTTCTAGCATCTCAGATCCCCGAGTTATGAACTTGCCCGAGAAAAATTTTGGCGGGCCGTAAGCGGGTACCACGTTTACTCGGCGGTTGAGCTTGAGCTCATTAGTATCTACCTGGGCGGGGAAGATTCCCTTAAAATTCAGCTTTTTAGCGTCCCAGATCCCCGAGTTATGAATTTGCGCGGGGAAAACTTTGGCGGGCCCGTACGCGGGTACCACGCTTACCCGGAGCTTGGGGTTGAGCTCACTAGCACCTACTTGGACGGGGAACATTCCCTTAAAATTTCAGCCTTCTAACATCTCAGAACCCTGAGTTATGAATTTACGCGGGAAAGAATTTGGCGGGCCGGTACGCGGGTACCACGCTTACGCGGGGGCTGGGTTTCAGCTCATTAATACCTACTTGGATGGGGAACATCTCTTTAGAATTTCAGCCTTCTAGCTTTCCTGGTTCGTGAGTTAGCAGCGTACCCGTAAAAAACCTTGGCGGGCTTTTACGTGGGTACCACGCGGGTAAGACCACCCATTTTGGGAATGGGGGCCCGTACGTGCATGTAGATTAACACCCCAAAGTTTCAGTCCTGTAGCTTTTGTTGGCCTCGAGATGAAAAATCGGTACAGACGCGTAGCGCACACACAGACACACATACACAGACAACCGCTCGTCAGTATGCGTTTTTCGCATTGCATTGCTGCAAAAAACGCATAAAAAGTGAACTCGGATTCACATCACTTTCCGAGAAACTGCTGTTTTGAGTGCAGTGCTTACTCCGAAACCCTGGGCAGATGTGCTTCTTTGTTTCACGAATTTTGCTTTATAGCGCTTTCATTTAACTCGTTTCCATGTGGCCCCACGCACTGCAACAAGTGCCGCTGTCCGTTTTGGTGGTGCCAGCTGATCGAAAGTCTGCGATTTTTTTTTTGGGCGGAAACGTTCGCGGATTTGCTTTTGATGACTGGCACATGACTGTCCAGAATCTGCTTTTTCATGCTCAATAGCATGTAAAAGCCATCATACAAACTGAAACAAATGCTCAGAGCTAAGAATCAGTCTTTCGGGTAACTTCATTTCAGATCGTTCTTTTCCATTTACATATCGAAGCAAAATTAGAAAGCAGGTGGCCATCATTCTTGAAAAAGTGAAATTCTGAACAAAATAATTGAACAATGTCTTGGTCTCAAGTTGGATTCAGCAAAGAATCAGCCCAGCACAAATGAACAAACTGATGAGAGGAAAAAGTGAACAAAGTGATGACAAGACACTCCATTGTATAGGTGCTTATCTAGGATTCGGAAGGAGCGCCACCTAAACACCGTACATTTTTGGGCACAAATGTATTTTACATTATTCACTTTAGTGCTGCAACTTCGAATCAAATGAATTCTGATTTCGTCTGCTAAACGGCGCAAGCCTCAGTCCGTCCGAATTTTTTTTTTCATTTATCACTGTGACATTCTGAGTTGAGGCATCTTACGCAGCCGACACAAACAGCGAATAACAGTCAATCTTTCTGGTTAACGCCTTCCACTGAACCAAACTTCCTGATTTCCAAATATGAATTGGCTTCGGTGACGTGTGGGCATGAGTTCGACCGGACATGACGAATCTGCAAATGCATTGCTTAAGCATACAATACACAGCGCATAATATTGTTGTGACTGTAAATGCTGGAAAGAAGTTATCTTCACTAGCTGAAAATAGGCATTTAAAGAGCAAAAACTTGGGAAAACAGAACAAGGCAGCAGCTAGCATTGAACAAAGGTATGACAGCTGTTGTTCTAAAAAAATAGACGAAGTCGAAGCGAATGCCAAGCAGTAGCGCAAAAAAAGGAAAATATAAATACAGTCTCTGCGGTGGATCAATAAGGATGTTCCCGCATTTCCAGCAGAGG